GGAAAATCCTGCAGTCAGAGAGACTGCTTTTCCCACTTCTCAGGAGGTCCAAAGAAGATGGAGAAACCCCCAGACTCCCTGGTGAAGGTCCATACGTAGGAGGAGAGACTCAACTGAAAGTATTTTGTCTATCCAACCTTGACAAGAAACCTCACTGCATTGCCAGTTCTGTCTGTTTCAGCTCATGAAATTCTCTTTAAACATTGCCTCAAATGCAACAACAGACCAAGATGGGTATGTCCAAGAGTAGTCACCATCCCCAAACACACGCAAAAATGCCATCACGGGACTAGGAAAGCCTGGCTGCAGCTCCCCACAAAAACTATTGCAGCCTTCAACTTGTGCAATGGCACAAAATAGATCTTAACTAACATTCGGAAGCAGACAGACACTTCTCTCGGCCACCATGCAGGGTGGCTGGCAGCCTCCCGGAGGGAAGCTTGAGGGATATTTGGTTGCAGGAATAATTTCGGCAGTTCCAGGTTAACTGATTCCCTCTGTGAGTTTGTGCTGCCACGCACCAACCACGCCAGCTGCCATCCCACGCTCACCAAACTGGGAAAAGGCTGCTCAGTGCAACTGGAACTTAGCGTCAGTAACGTACACTCCTTAAAAAAAAGGAACACACTTCAGTACAATATACGGTAACCTATAGTTCAAAGAAAACCAGCAATTCCTATAGTTTTCTAGTCATTCTGTCGCTCTGCTCCCACAGAAATCACTCATCCACATCAGGTAGGAATTCAAAGCAGCTCGCCTCTTGCAAAATGTTGACATCTGATTCATCAGCACCCAAGCCCCAGGGCACAAGCGGGATAGGGGACACCCGTCTGGGCTCCCCTTTCAGGCCCATTCTCAGCCCCACAAAGGTCCAGTCGTGTCCTCGCAGGTGCCAACTTCCTTCCTTAAGTCAGGGTTTTGCCTACATAGCTCAGTACAAGCCTATCCCACATCGTGTTTAAAAAACAAATTAGCTAAACCAGTGAAAAATCCCTAACGAGGACACATTTCTATGAGTTTACGCAGCTTTATCTTAATTAACAAACTTTGTAGCTCCGAGCTAAGCGGAGGAATGGTACCGTAACTGCACATAGCGGTACCCTGCAGAAGGGTGGGAGCTGGGGACGATGTCTCAACAAGGAGCAATGTGGTTCAGCAAATGCGACATAGGATGAATTCTTTCAGCAGACAGCAGGTGGTGATCCAAGATCACGGCACTGGAACGCCAAGAGCGAACACCAGAAACACACACAAAGGCCTCCTACTTCCATAAAACTGTCAAAGATCAGTCTATTTTGTGAAGGGCTGGTTTTGTTCTGCTCATTAGAGAAACGGGTGTAATTACAGGGATATGAAAGGAACCTTACAGACTTGCAGCTCCAGATCCCTTCTATATTGGTAAACTATAATATGCATAGATATTAAAGCATAACGAACCAAATAAAAATTATAATCCTGCTAAAGCTAAACTGGCACAATTTCTGTATAGACATTTCCATGCAAACTGCCACGAGGTAAATGGCCTGTGCTGTCCATAAACCTACTGTGAGTCATAAGCATCACAGAAAGGTGCAGAGAAATGCTACAGCACATAAACATCAAATAATCTCTTAAATATGCCTTTCAAGTCTGGTAACCCCCAAATCATTGGGATAGATGTGAG